GCTGAAAAAGAAGAATGCCACGATCTGTGCGAGTGATCTCGCGCCCAAGGAAGTAAGAAAGATGTCCAAGATCCTACATAGATAACGCAGCATGAAGACCCTCTTTAAGAGACTGAATGGCGGCCATGTCATTCCCAGTAATGATCATATCATCCACATATATCAAAAGACCAACGATACTAGTAGAAGTGAGTTTGGTAAACAGGGAAAGGTCATTTAAGCTCTCCTGATAACCAAGACGCATGATAATTGCCCGAAATGTCTCAAACCAAGCTCGAGGGGCTTGTTTCAAACCATAGAGAGAACAGTGAAGAGGACAAACCTGATCGGGCCGCTCAATCGTGTACTCAGGAGGGCGCTTCATATACACCACTTCCTTAAGCTCCCCATGCTAGAATGCGTCTTTTACATGTAGCTGAAACATGGGTCATTTACGCATTGGCAACTACTGTCAAGAGTATTCGAACGCTCGACATCTTGGCGATAGGAGCAAAAGTCTCATCATAATCCACCCTTTGCTCCTGTGTGAACCCGTGAGCAACTACACTAGCTTTGAAGTACTCTACGTACCTATCAGTGCATCTTAATATCATAAATACTTCGATTTCCCACCTCAAGGACAGACAGTGGTGGACGATCAACAACTGTTCAGGTTGCTTTATTATGCAATGCATCAAAATTTTCCTTCATAGCACGAACCCCGAAGGATTGCTCTGGGTTTATTTAAACCGAGTAGGAATAACTACAACATCAACACCATAACTCACAAAATCAAGAAGCCGAGCAGAAGGGACTCTTAGAGAGCTGCGAGTAGAGCGATAGAGCATGAGCTCCAGCGGAGGAGAGACAAACCCTGGGGAGCAGCTTTCGGACTCAGGAGTCTCTGGCTTGGTTGGGGGAAGCTAGGGCGGAAAGGGAGGAGGAGATGGATCAACGTCATCCTCATCAAAGAAAGGCCAAGTAGTTCGAAATGGACCAAAGCCATCCGGCTGAGGACTGGAGGCATAAAACATATGGTTTTCAAAAAAATTTGATAGTTAATTAACCAAAACGCTGTAGCAACTACTTCAGGAAAGAAATGAGAGAGAACGTGCGAGGCCAAAAGTAAAGCTCGAGTGAGCTCAACATGATGTTTCTTGCGTTCTACCAACCCATTTTGTTGAGAGACCTCAAGACGTGATTTTTTACAAAGGATGCCGAGTGAGTTATACATATCAAGCAACAACGGGTGAGAACTAAATTCACCACTTGGATCAGAACGAATAATTTTTACGGGCGCCCAAATTGAGTCGAAATCATGGTTAAAAATTCTTTGGCAACCGATAATAAAAATCATTTTAAGGAAATAAGCCTATCTAAATCGAGTTGCATGCTCAATAAACAGGGCAAAATAGCGAAAACCATGTCAAGGAACAACAGGAGAGGGTCCTCAGAGATTCCTATGAACAATAGCAAAGGGTTCAGAAATAACAGTAGTGCGCGATTGAAAAGCGTTGCTCGTTGTTTTGGCATCAACATAACTAGGGCGATGATGTTGGGGCAAACGAATACCAGTATGACTACCAAGAATGCCAAATATCCGATACACTCACAGATAGCACTGGGAAGGGACAGTTGAAGTGCCGAGTTGACGAGACTCTCGACATAGACCGTTGTAAGTGGTTGGGCAGGTGGTTGAGCAACAGGAAGCTTCTGAGTGCGAGGTGGAGAAGGTCCATACTCAACTGTCGAAGCTGCATAGGCAGGCTGGTCCATGGGATGCTGCCCAGGCGGCAATGTTTTTGCAAATGGCTCTTATCTCGGCAATGATAGCATTAAAGCTCTACCGCGACAATGAGTTGTTGATATTGTGTTCTCTCATATAGGTGTCAATCGGGCGGGTTGGGGCTGGGTTCAATCGGGTTTGGTTACAAACGGGTTGCGGGTTAGTCGGGTTGTAGGTTCATCAGGTTAGAGTTCATCGGGTTCGGGTTCAAACTGGTTGCGGGTTAGTCGGGTTGCGGGTTCATCAGGTTTGGGTTCAATCGGGTTGCGGGTTCATCAGGTTTGGGTTCAATCGGGTTCTAAATTGGGCGGGTTGCGGACGGATCGGGTTTCGGGTTGTTCGGGCCAGCACATCAAGTAACTTACTCATTACTCGTTACCAACTTACTCATTTTATTACATTAATTTAAATATTTTTCTCAACTTATAAACCAATTTATTTATACCTCGTATACATATACTTAAGTTTTTTGGAAAAAAAAACTTGTCAAAATGTTAAGTCAATTTGTATGACTTGCAAACTTGTTATGTAATTAATTATAATTGGTAAAGTACACTAGCTAATAGTAATGCTGATATAAATATTTGCAACCAAAAGACACTATTAATTGTTTATTTGATAATTTAGTATTATTTCAATAGTAATTGGATTAAAGTATCTTGTTTAGTATAACCATGCAAATCTGGTATTTGGCAAAAATAGAGTGATAAAAGGAGTTATTTCGAAATAACGCATTGGCCAAATAACTTCAGTAAACTGTTGCCAAACGAGTTATTTGTAAAATTATTTAATTATCCTAAAAATTGAACCATTAAGATTAACTATAAAATTTAGCAAAATTATTGTGACTTCAACCATAATTTACTTAATAACATATATCCTATACACTTAGCCTTACCCTCAATCGACAATATTAAGTTAGTATATGTTGTTGATTGTATACCCTAAACCATCAATACATTATACACTAACCACATACCTTATACCCTAACCATATGTCCTTATGAGTTGTGATTTTGCTATTATAGTTAATTTAAAAGTGAAATTCATACTTTGATTTTCAAAATATGGATAAAAAGTGATATTTGCTAATTGGTATACCCGAACCATCTATCATATACTCTACACCACATATCTTGTACCCGAACCATGTACCATAAACATAAATTAAAAAGGATCTCCTGCCGTTAAAGACTTCAAGTGAACATATGTTAATAAAAAATTTAGAACCATCAAAACGATTAATATCTTATATCCTAACCATATACACCCTAAACCATCTGTACCTTATACCCTATACCCTAACCATATACTTTATACCCTAAACAACAAACCGCAAAAATTACTTATCAAGTTTAGTATAATTGTTGTAACTAATAGTTAATTTATTTGTTAGTCCATAAACAATTACATACATATATATATATGGGGAATTCTCTATATATATGGAGAGTTCTACGATACCCAGGGGAAATCCGGGGTACCGCATACATTGAGTAAGAAAACGCTATCCAGAACTTGAATTGACTTATCTTTCGGACATGATACTATACTCTAACCCATAAAGATAGAAATCTAGGTCTTAACTCTGTAAATCTTATACCCAAGATCAATTTAATTAGAAACAATAATCAACGGTTATGATTCGTCCAAATATAGGCAAAAAAATCAATGCACCATCATAGGGTTTATAGTTTATGATTTAGATAATTAGGACCTAGGGTTCACACATTAAGGGTTAGGGTATAATATCATGCCCAAAAATCCTGTTAATTCGAGGTCTAGAAGGCACCATATATATAAGCCTTCAAAGCATATAAGAATAAAATTAACTAGTCATGCCCTCCATATAAAAATTAAAGATTCATATTTCAAAGGCTAAAATTTTGAAAACCAAAAAAATTGAAAACACCAAATTTGTTTCCTTCTTTCTTTTCACAAAACAATTCCCTTCTTCTTTCTCTTTCTATTAATTAGAAACACTCAATTTTCCCTCCTCTTTCTCTTCCATAAAAATTGAAAAAACCAAATTTCCCTCTTCCTTCCTTCCACAAAAAGTTTAAAACTCAAAATTTTCCTCCTTATTTCTTTTTCATAATCAAAAGAACCGAACTTTCCCACTTCTTTCTCTTCACACAAATCAAAACCACCAAAATTCCCACTTGTTTCTTTTCTAAAAAATTGAAAAAACCATATTTGTTTCCTTCTTTCTTTTCACAAAACAATTCCCTTCTTCTTTCTCCTTCCATTAATTAGAAACACTCAATTTTCCCTCCTCTTTCTCTTCCATAAAATTGAAAAAACCAAATTTCCCTCTTCCTTCCTTCCACAAAAAGTTGAAAACTAAAAATTTCCCTCCTTATTTCTCTTTCATAATCAAAAGAACCAAACTTTCCCACTTCTTTCTCTTCACACAAATCAAAACCACCAAAATTCCCACTTGTTTCTTTTCTAAAAAAATAAAAAAACCAAATTTCCCTAAAGTCGAATACACCAAAATTTTCCTCTTCTTATAAAAACATCAAATTACCAAATACATTACTTTACTTTATTTATATTTAATTGATAGTTTTATTGAATAGTTAAATTAATCAAACTTTTAATTTATATATTTTATTAGGGCTAATACCTCTCGGAAACCCAAACTATTAACTTTGTGTCATTTGTGTCCTAAAGTATTCGATATGACATTTATGTCACAACGTATGATAGTTGTGTGTCATTTATGTCTTGACGATTTCGTTGACCGTTATAGATAACGTTGACCAAACGGAAGTCAACATTAACATTAACTTTTGTTGACGTGGCAGCCACGTAGATGCCACGTCAATGACACCTCATATTTTTAATTAAAAATTAAATAATAATATAAAAATTAATATATTGTTATAAAAATTAAAAAATGTTAACAAAAAAAAAAATTAAAAAAATGTACTCAATTAACCCTCCCTCTGCAGATTCGAACATTTTCCTTCGTCTCTTCACCTCCCCTCCCCCCGATTACCTCTCCCTTCCTTCTCTCAATCGCCGCCGCTGCTTCCGCCTCCTCCTACGCCGTCGCCGCCACCTACGACATCGTCTTTCTTCCTCGAGGTGGACTCCTAGCTTCGCTTTCTGTCGACTCATCTCTGCTATTGCGCTTGGATTTCTTGGGTGAAGCTGCTGAGAGAAATCGATTGATCTCATCTCTGATTTCCAGTTTCCTTCGTTTGATCGAATCGACCCCCAACGGGGAATGGATGAGTCGATAGCAGGTGAGGGACGTGCTTCATCCCACCCACCCTGCCGACACCATCACCAGCCAACACACCTGCTTTCGATTTCAAGGAACCCAATGGCTAGCTATCAATCGGATTCGGCGAAATCGTCGCCGCACGTCACCATCGGCGTAAACCACCTCCAACCGCTGGCCGATTCGCTCATTCCTCCGCCATCCACCATTCTCGTCCAGCGAGCTGACCTCTGCAGAGTTAGGGATTGCAAGGCGTGATTTTGTTTGTTCTTGTCTCGGGGTTTCTCCCCTTTCAGCATCAGAACTTGATGAGGATGTACAACAAGGTTTTCAGGGCGGAGTTCAAGTGTCCGTTGTGGGTTTCAGTGGAGGCTAGGAGGTTGATCTCGAAGCTTCTGGTGGCGAATCCGTCGAGGAGGAAGAAGGAGAAGAGGAAGGGTTTATCGAATACTTTAGGACACAAATGACACAAAGTTAATAGTTCGGGTTTCCTAGTGGTATTAGCCCATTATATTAATATTTTCCATGATCTCAATAATTAATTCTTCACTATTAATATTAATATTATGTTGATTTTATATTTACTTTTTTAATTTTGTTAAAGAACTTAGTGTTCAAGTGACCTTCATGTTTCAATTTTCATAATTTTTTGAAAATACATAATATCAAGTGAGTTTCATATTTTTTAAATTCCCTATACGGAATGAAAAAATAATTTACTTAAGTTTAGAATGAAAAACTTTATTTTGAAAAATTATGTATTGTATATTATAATAATTATTCAAGTAGATTAGGTGAAGTTCGGGTTGAGTCGGTCGGGTTACGATTAGTCGGGTTCGGGTCAATCGGGTTCGAGTTAATCGGGTTGCTGCTCAGTCAGGTTGCGGATCAATCGGGTTCGGGTAAGTCGGGTTGCGGGTCGCGCGGGTTACAGATTGTTGACTTTTAGTCAATTCGAATTGCGGTCGGGTTGCGGGTCGGGTTGATCGGGCGGGTTAATCGGGTCGGGCTATGTTTTGACTCCTATATTCTCTCCACGACAGCCATTGATTCCTTAGAAGTAGCAGCAACAAGGATGGATTAGCCCTGACCAGGACGAATGACAAGCTGGGATTGGGTACGGAGACGTGTCTTCTCTCGAAGCAGTTGGCCGAGCACTCCATCAAATGGAAGATTTTAATGATTAAGCAAGACTCACGTGGGCTCACTATGGTTCAAGTTCACTAAACATAATGATACATTCAAAATACATGATAGATAAAAAATACATGGGCTCCTTAATAGTGATCGTCTAACATGAATAAATCTCTAAAAACAATGCCATCCGTAGGAATATTTCAATTGAAAGCCCCACGTTATGTCCAATTTCCTTACTAAATCTTAAACTTATCATCCCTAAATCTTAAGGTGAAAACATTACGATATGCCAAGGAAGCGTATGAATCGACATCTCTCTAGGTTTTCCATACTCAATATTTATCATTTCGGGCTAAATATGTATTGTATCAATTTCGCGAACCCTATAATGCGTTGTAATATGTATTGAGTTAGCATTTTTTTTATGGGTGTTCCAATGTGGCGATCATAAGCCATTTTTTATGTTTATTTTTTCAAACTGGGAGAACGGTGAGTTTCGCTTCTAACGATCAGAAAAATTCTCCTTGACTCCAATCAAAGACAATGATAAGATTCGATTGGTAGAGGTTTTCTTATCGGGGCATGCTTTAAATTTATAGGTCGAAGCGCACTCTCTAATTGTTGGGGGAATGAACATGGGCCAGCCCAAAAAGGGAAAGCCCAAAAAAGGTTATTAAGGGACCGGAGACGCGGACTCAACCAAGAAGACTGAGAAAGCCCATGGGGGCAGGAACCTTGGGCTGAAGGGCGCATGGGCAAAGGCCTGGATGGCTAAGATAACGTGTGAGACAGGTGGGACCGGGCACCTGGTGAAGGGCATATGAGACAAAGGCAGCCAACGGTCGGAAGTGTACGAAAAGCTGATCACGTGATGTCATGCGCCTCCAACCTCTTACTGAAGTGTCAGGTGGTCGAGGCGCATGCGCAAGGGGTGTACGATGCATTTATGGCGGACATGACACAGGGCGAGAGTGACGGATATCGGTCGATCCCGCCCTGGGTATAAATAGTGGAGTAGGTAAACCTCATTTACTCAGTTTTTGCTTCTCTTACTAGAACTGTTACTACTTCTCTCTCTAAAAAGAAAGGCTCTCACTAGGGCGTCGGAGTTCTAACGGACCAGGTCGGTCCGCTAGGCGCTTGTGCGTGTGTGCAGGGTAGCAGGCGGAGAAAGGAACGTGGGAGATCGGATCGCGGAACAGAGGAAGAAAGCTACTGGGCATAAACAATTGGCGCGCCAGGAAGGGGAATATAAATTGAGAGACGCATGGAGGCTCCAGGAACAGGAGAGAAAGATGGAGGCGCTGAGCGACAAGAGCATGGGACGGAAGTGACGAAGGAGGCGGACGAGCATGACGGAAGGGGGAGTCTGAGGGTCGAGGAGAGCGCGCAAACGGAGGGCGTCCATCTCACGAAGGAAGAATTGCTCCAGATTATTGAGAGCCAAGACCACGCACTCGAGATCCTGAAGAAAGAGGTTGAGGCGCTCAAGAGGGGCGCAGGCGACCCACCCACGCCTGGGTTGAAGAGAAGGGAGCGAGATGAGGAGGGTGAAGGGGCGTCTAGCCTTGCGAGGCGCGCGGAGGAAGTGGGGCACCTAACCCGACACTTGGAATCGGACTATGATGACGACAATGGTTGGGCGCAGAGGCGTGCCGGGAAAGGCTGGGGCGTTCGGCAGCCTTTAGTCAGAAGCATTCTTGCCGAGCAGCCAAGCTCAGTCATACCCGCCCTGCCAAGCTACGACGGAACGACGGAACCGGAAGACCACCTGAACAATTACTTCACAAAGATGCAGTTGTACAGCAGCACGGACGCCATGATGTGCCGCGCATTCCCGTCCACGTTCACGGGAGTGGTGTTGGATTGGTACCATCAGCTAGAGGAAGGAAGGATCGACTGCTTTGAGCACTTCGCTTCCTTGTTCCTGTCGAAGTTCACAAGCCGAAAGCACAGGACCCTAACGATAAGCGCCTTGTTCAAAGTCCGTCAGAGAGAGAACGAGCCGCTTCGGGGATTTTATGAACGATGGATGTCAGTAGCCATGGCGGTGAAGGATGTCAAGCCTCCCGTCTTGGGGTGTTGCCTGGACGAATGCACGACAAGTGAAGAACTATGCCGGGCGCTTTCTAAGAGGGACGTCATGTCCACCGAAGACCTTGACAGAAGGGTGCAGAAGGTTATCATGCTGGAGGAAACACTTGCGGCCAGGCGGCTCGACAGACGCAAGGGCAAAGCTGATGAGGGGGAGGGCTCGACAGACTGCTATCAGCTAAAATCAGAGATTCAAGGGTTGGTGGATAGAGGAATGTTGAGCGAGTTTGTGAAAAAGGACGACAGGGCGCAACGGACTTTCATGGCGCATGAGGCGCAAGTAAAGGCGCCCGACGCGGAGCAAGAACTGGCGGACGCCCGCCCCAAGGAGCAGGCTGCCCCACCACCACCCCCGTTTGACATTGAGCAAGAAGTCAACCCGAACCGCGTAAGGCTGACCATTGAAGCTATCACCGGCTCAGTAGATTTGAGGCAGAAGATAGAAGAGGGGAGGCGGCTGGAGTCAGCCACTGCAAGTGCGAGAAAGGCAATACAAATACATTTCAACGATGTACCCGAAGAGGCGTGCCGGACGCCCTCCACGGAGGCTCTGGAAATCAGGGGAGTCATAGCCGGATGCGAGGTTAAAAGGATGCTGGTCGACACAGGAAGTTCGATGGACGTATTATTTTTGTCCACATTTGAAAAAATGCAGCTGGCGCCCAGCATGGTGAGGCCGGCGGACACTGTGCTGATTGGGTTCTCGGGGGCGCCGGCCCAGGTACTTGGGCGCGTGCGCCTCCCGGTAACTTTGGGCGACGAGACACATTGTGTTACGCATACTGTAGACTTTGGTATAGTCGACTGCCCTTCGCCGTATAATGCGATCCTAGGGCGCCCCCTGCTGGCTCTGTTCAACGGGGTGGCCTCATCTTGCCATCAGGATATCAAGGGGTGAGGCCTCCGCAGAAGCGCGGTTCGCCAAAAGGAGCCGAATGTACAATATCGACGTGCGCCCCGAGGACTTTCCTAGGGCCGAGGCGGCAGATGAAGAAATCCATGTGCCACTGGATGATCTTCGCCCTGACCGATGCGTGCGAATTTCGACACATACGACGAGCGAGGATTTGGAGCCACTGATCGATCTGCTGAAGGAATTTGCAGACTTGTTCGCGTGGAGCGCGAAGGAGATGCCTGGGGTAAGGGCTGAGGTTGCGGAACATCGCATCGCCATAGCAAAGGGCGTGCGCCCCATCCAGCAGAAGAGGCGTCCCATTTCTCTGGAGAAAGAGGAAGCGTTGAAAAACGAGGTAGGGAAGTTTCAAGAGGCGGGGTTCGTTGTGGAGGCCAAGTACACGACTTGGCTGTCCAATGTCGTGTTAGTACCCAAGGCGTTGGGGGACTGGAGGATGTGTGTAGATTACACAAGCCTAAACAGAGTCTGCCCCTCGGACGCCTACCCCATGCCAATGATCGACTAGTTGGTGGACGCGACTGCATACCATGAGGCGCTCAGTTTCCTGGATATATTTTCGGGTTACCACCAGATACCCATGTGTGAGGAAGATAGGGACAAGACGGCATTCATGACTCCATTCGGGAACTACCGCTACAAAGTGATGTCATTCGGGCTAAAAAATGCAGGGGCCACGTACCAACGCATGGTGAACAAGGTGTTCCAACATCAGATTGGGCGAAACGTGGAGGCGTACGTGGACGAACTTGTGGTCAAAAGCAAGCGGAGGGGAGATCATCTGGCAGACTTGCGTGAGACATTCCAAGCGCTTCATGCCCACGACCTGCGCCTGAACCCCCTGAAATGCGTTTTCGATGCGGAGGCTGGGAAATTCTTGGGGTTTATGATCACCAGGCGTGGCATCGAAGCTAACCCTAAGCAAGTGGAGGCAATCAGGCGCCTCCAGCCTCCACGCACACCCAACGAAGTGCAAAGTTTGAACGGACGATTAGCCGCCCTGGGGCGCTTCATACCCCGCTCAGCGGATAAGGGCGCGCCCTTCTTCCGGGTGCTAAAGAAGGCCGCTTGGTTCAAATGGACAGAGGAATGCGACGCAGCGTTCGAGCAGTTA